GTGAGTTGGGCATTTAGTTGGTGCTGGAGGTTTCTCTCTCTCTTTCTCTTTCTCTTTCTTTCTCTTTTTCTCTCTTTCTTTCTCTCTTTTTCTTTCTCTTTCTCTCTTTTTCTTTCTCTTTCTCTCTTTCTCTTTCTTCTTCCATTCTCTTTCTTCTTCCATTCTCTTTTTCTCTTTCTTTCTCTTTCTCTCTTTCTCTTTCTTCTTTCTTTCTCTTTCTCTCTCTCTCTTTCTCTTTCTTCTTCCATTCTCTTTTTCTCTTTCTTTCACTCTCTCTCTCTCTCTCTCTCTCTCTCTCTCTCTCTCTCTCTCTCTCTCTCTCTCTCTCTCTCTCTCTGAGTTGGTCATTTATTCGAAGTTGTCTGTTTCTTTCTTCTTTCCTCCCGTCTTCCTTCCTTCCTTTCTCGTTCCATTCATCCATTCATCTATTCATCTATTCATTCATTCATCTATTCATCTACTCATTCATTCATCTATTCATTCATTCATCTATTCATCCATTCATTCATTCATCCATTCATTCATTCATTCATCTATTCATCTACTCATTCATTCATCTATTCATCTATTCATTCATTCATCCATTCATTCATTCATCTATTCATTCATTCATCCATCCATTCATTCATTCATCTATTCATCTATTCATTCATTCATCTATTCATCTATTCATTCATTCATCCATTCATTCATTCATCTATTCATCTATTCATTCATTCATCTATTCATTCATTCATCCATTCATCTATTCATCTATTCATTCATTCATCTATTCATCTACTCATTCATTCATCTATTCATCTACTCATTCATTCATCTATTCATCTATTCATTCATTCATCTATTCATTCATTCATCTATTCATCTACTCATTCATTCATCTATTCATTCATTCATCCATTCATCTATTCATCTACTCATTCATTCATCTATTCATCTATTCATTCATTCATCTATTCATTCATTCATCTATTCATCTATTCATTCATTCATCCATTCATTCATTCATTCATTCATTCATTCATTCATCTATTCATTCATTCATCTATTCATCTATTCATTCATTCATCTATTCATTCATTCATCCATTCATTCATTCATCTATTCATCTATTCATTCATTCATCTATTCATCTACTCATTCATTCATCTATTCATTCATTCATCCATCCATTCATTCATTCATCTATTCATTCATTCATCTATTCATTCATTCATCCATTCATTCATTCATTCATTCATCTATTCATTCATTCATCCATTCATTCATTCATCCATTCATTCATTCATTCATCTATTCATCTACTCATTCATACATTCATCCATTCATCTATTCATCTACTCATTCATTCATCTATTCATTCATTCATCCATCCATTCATTCATTCTTTCACCCACCTATCTATCCATCTATCTGTCCAACCATCCATCCGCCCACCCATTCATTCATTCATCTATTCATCTATTCATTCATTCATCCATCCATTCATTCATTCTTTCACCCACCTATCTACCCATCTATCTATCCAACCACCCGTCCATCCATTCATCCACCCACCCACCCACCCACCCACCCACCCACCCTCTCCTCCGTTTCCCCTTCGTGTCTGTCTGTCTCAAATTGCCTCATTTTCCTCCTGTCGTCTTACTTTCGGATCCCGGGAATGACAGGGCGTCCCGTGGGAGTGGGCGAGAGGCCGAATGAGTGTGGGTGTGGGAGTGGGTCTGCGAGTGGGTGTGGGAGTGGGTCTGCGAGTGGGCGTGCGAGTGGGTCTGCGAGTGGGTGTGGGAGTGGGTCTGCGAGTGGGCGTGCGAGTGGGTCTGCGAGTGGGTGTGGGAGTGGGTGTGCGAGTGGGTGTGGGAGTGGGTGTGCGAGTGGGTGTGGGAGTGGGTCTGCGAGTGGGCGTGCGAGTGGGTGTGCGAGTGGGTGTGGGAGTGAGGGAAAAGTTGAGGGTAAGGTGTGTGTGTGTGTGGGTATGAGAGAGGAAATGTGAGTGTGACTGTGGGTGTGGGTATGAGAGAGGAAGTATGAGTGTGACTGTGGGTGTGGGAGTGAGGGAATGTGGGGCCAAGGGTGGCTGTGAGTGTGAGTGTGAATGCGGGTGTGAGAGTGAGATAATATGAGTGTAGATGTGAGAGTGAGGGAAGGTTTGAGAGTAAGAGGGGAGGGGTGAGAGTGAGAGAATGCGAGGGGAAAAGTGGGTGTGAAAGAATGTGAGGGTGGGCGTGGGCGTGAGAGTGAGAAAATGTGAATGTGAGTGTGGGTGTGAAGGTGTGAGAGTGAATGTGACTGCGGCTCTCTGTGTGTGTGTGTATGTGTGTGTATGTGTGTGTGTGTGTGTTGAGTTGAGTGTGATAATGACTTTTAGTGTGAGTATGCGGTTGGGAAAACGCGTCCTTATCGGCGTCTGTCTTCGTCTACTTCTTCTTCTTTGTAAGAGAGGAAAACAAGCATGGAAGTAGGGAGAGAGAAACAGAAAATTGAAATGGAGAGATAAGGAGAAGAGAGAAGAATAGAAAAAGAACATTAGGATAAGATTAGATGGCAGGTCTCTTCGTCTCCTCCTGTTCTCTTTGGCTGTCTGTATTCTCTCTCGCTCTCTCTCTCTCTCTCTCTCTCTCTCTCTCTCTCTCTCTCTCTCTCTCTCTCTCTCTCTCTCTCTCTCTCTCTCTCTCTCTCTCTCTCTCTCTCTCTCTTTCTCTCTCAGATATATATATATATATATATATATATATATATATATATATATATATATATATATATATATATATATATATATATATGTATATATATATATATGTATATATATATATATATGTATATATATATATATATATGTATATATATATATATATATGTATATATATATATATATATGTATATATATATATATATATATATATATGTATATATATATATATATATATGTATATATATATATATATATATATATGTATATATATATATATATATATATATATATATATATATATATGTATATATATATATATATATATATATATATATATATGTATATATATATATATATATATATATATATATATATATATATATATATATATATATATATATATATATATATATATATCTTTTAATATTTTCCACCTTGTACATATTCTTCTGATAACGACCTTTTGTTCTGTCAATCTCGCCAGTTCCTTCGCTCTGTCAACAATATGTCTCATTCCAAACACGTTGTGGTCTTCAGAAGTGATCTTTAAGACCTGCGAAAGTGTGTCTTAGGAGTGTTTGTTTTTGATTTTCGTCTTAGATAGCGTGGGGAATGAGTACATAGTAATTATTATTAGGCAGTTGTTATTATCGTTTTTTTTTTATTTCTTTGCTGTTGTCTTTTTCTTCTTCTTCTTCTTCTTCTTCTTCTTCTTCTTCATCCTAGCATTACCATCGTTGTTATCCTTTGTTTGTGAATATGTTTAGTTTTGTTATTGTCGTTATTAATGCCTTTGTTATTCTTATTATCGTTAGTCATTATCACCATCACCACCACCACCACTATCGCCTTCGTCATCGTCATCACCATCACAATCATCATGGTCATCATCATCGTCATCGTCATCGTCATGATTATCATTTAACTCAGCATTATCATCATTTCGGTTACTACATCATTTTAATTTGCAAGTCCTGCCAATAATAAAAACGTATTTATCTGGCCGTTGGAGATATAGCTAAATGGGGCTAAAAGTCCTTTGATAATCTCTCTTTTGAGAACGTAGTTAAGGAAAATAAGATGCTTTGATCATCACTTTAGTGGCCTTTGATCTTCTAATGATAATTCTCTCTCTCTCTCTCTCTCTCTCTCTCTCTCTCTCTCTCTCTCTCTCTCTCTCTCTCTCTCTCTCTCTCTCTCTCTCTCTTTCTTCCATCCTCATTTTCTCTCTCTACCCTTCTGCCCCAATAGCTTCTTTTATCTCTCCCCTCTCCATCCCTCTCTACCTCCTTCCCTCTCTCTTTCCCTCCCTCCTTCCCTCTCCCACTCTTCATATCTCTCATTCTCCAACTCACTCCATCCATCCATCCATCCATCCATCAGTCCCTCAGTCTCCCTTTCCCTCCCTCTCTCCATCCCTCAGTCTCCCTTTCCCTCCCTCTCTCCATCCCTCAGTCTCCCTTTCCCTCCCTCTCTCCATCCCTCAGTCTCCCTTTCCCTCCCTCTCTCCATCCCTCAGTCTCCCTTTCCCTCCCTCTCTCCATCCCTCAGTCTCCCTTTCCCTCCCTCTCTCCATCCCTCAGTCTCCCTTTCCCTCCCTCTCTCCATCCCTCAGTCTCCCTTTCCCTCCCTCTCTCCATCCCTCAGTCTCCCTTTCCCTCCCTCTCTCCATCCCTCAGTCTCCCTTTCCCTCCCTCTCTCCATCCCTCAGTCTCCCTTTCCCTCCCTCTCTCCATCTCTCAGTCTCTCTTTCCCTCCCTCTCTTCCTTCAGTCTCCCTTTCCCTCCCTCTCTTCCTTCAGTCTCCCTTTCCCTCCCTCCCTCCCTCAGTCTCTCTTTCCCTCCCTCCCTTTCCCTCTCTCCCTCCCTCAGTCTCTCCCTCCCTCCCTCCCTCCCTCCCTCCCTCCCTCCCTCCTTCAGTCTCTCTTTCCCTCCCTCCCTCCCTCCCTCCCCCTCCTCTCCTCGTGCAGTAGTAGTGATGGCAACACTGCCTCCCCGGCTTCCTCGCGAGTGAATCAATAACCCGTTTTAATCACGCTGCGAAGTGACCGTAACATCACGTGACAAACTCACGCAAGCGTATTGCGCTGCTTTTTTGTTTTTTTAATGACGTGAGGTATGACGTAATGTTGTCCCATTATGACGTCACGTGAACGAAGATGAACGAACACGGGGCTAGAACATCTGAGGGAGGAAGAGAGGGCGTAACACTGGGTTATGTAAGAGAGAGAGAGAGGGGAGAGAGAGAGAGAGAGAGAGAGAGAGAGAGAGGGGGGGGGGGCGAGGGAGAGAGAGAGGGGGGGGAGAGC